TGTAGTGAACCTGATCTGACCCTGATCTGACCCTGATGACCTCAAATCTATCAGATGGACAGAGACTGTTATTTTCATTGATCTGAATACAGTCTGAGCCATCTGGTGACTTTCTTTCTTGAATTAACCAAGCAGAAAAGACAATTTTTATAATCATTACTGTTTTACAAATGTTTGATAATCAAATTGTGTTAGTTCCATTCAATGCTTACAGGTTGAAAAGAACTACTCATTTTTATTTTACATAAACAGTAAGTAATGATTTTTATTCCTCATTCAAAGAAGAAATCAGGTTAATATGCATTTCTTGATTCTCTGTCTGAAATGAGCCAAGTAATGTAAGTATGTGAAAGGTCGAGTCTTGGTCAACTAAAATGTTTACTGAGAAGAAATGTCATGTTTTACTATTTGAGAAGATACAACAGCGTGAGACTCCACGAAGTCTGGTCGTCTGCAATAATCTTTTCTGTATGTTGAAAACAATCCTTGACTTATGATAACATCTTACATCACAAACCACACCTCTATTTCTGGTACATCCACGAATCAGAAAGCTCTAAATTGAACCGGAAGTCGACCCATTTAAAATGTGGCAACTTCCCCAGTTCATGTTGAATTCATGAGAGAGTCTGGAGTCTGATAGTTCCAGAGGCTGAGGAGATGAAGAACTAGAGAGTTGCTGACAATTAAGAGTCTGAGAAGTTCTGAAGAATGAAAGGAGTTCAGAATTCTTGGGTGCAAACGCATTCAGGACGATCCAGAGACGTTTTGGGATTATAATTTCTGTTTGAAAACCACGTACGACTCCCTGAGGGTTTGGTAGTTCTCACGGAGACGCTGAAAAGAGTCAGGAAGGAACCTACGCCGACGCTGAGTTCATCATCAAGGTAGATGGTTCTATTTCGGACCAAGTGTACCGTGGGCAAGCTGATATCTGATGGAGCGTGCAATTTCTGGTCAAACAGATTAATTCCCTCACATATTTCTCTGTAAGATAAATCTCCATGTCATCTTAAAACTCTCCTCTTTCTCATAAAATCGGTACAGATATTTTAGAAATATCTGAAGCAAAGTCCTCGTTCACCGCCGAGTGATCGATGCTCATTTTCTGTGAAACTTGTCTGTTATTATTTTCATATTTTGCCAAATTAATGTAAATGTTTGATGTTAAACTTTGATTCTGAAAATAAATGACCGCATTCATTTTGATGGGTCAAAGGTAAATAACGTCTCTCGTTACATTTCTGTTAAATTCAATGCACGACATTACACAGTCAGAAAGATGAGGAACTCGTGAATATTGTATCAATATATATCTCATATATTGTCATACTACAGTAGTGAAAATGTTTCTTTGAAGTAAATATTGACTGTAGATATGGAAACAGAATATTTTGAGATAGGTATTAGGTGGTGATATTTTATTCTTATTGTTTATTACATGTGTGTAAATGGTTAGTGTGATGTGTTGTTTATTTTTCATTGGTGTTGGTATCTCCTTTCCTTTATCGCCATGTTTAACTCTGTCCACCCAGGTTTTAGTATTTATCTTTTTATGTTTGAAATTAGGCTCTAAAACTTTTTAGCACAGCTCTCCATAGTGAACACTTTACTCAACACTCTATGGAAAAATCAGGTTTTCGTTTATTTGTTTGGTTTTTACTTTTATTCATTAAGTTTTTCATTCATTCAACCTTTATTTAGACATGTTAATCCTATTGAGCCTCAGGAACTCATTTACAAGAGAGACCTGATTTATTTAACAAAGAGTGATGACAACAGTGAGTAACAACAACAACAATAGACGGTAACAAAAGAAGCATACAAAATTTAAATTTCTTTTTTTTTTACAAATCAAAACAAAATAGCAACCAAAAGGACAGTCAAAAGGAAAAGTAGAAAATAACCCAGCTAGATTGTAAAGTGATGCAGAAAACTAAAAACAGGAATATGTCAGCATTGGTTTTTGTCAGGAACTTAACAGATGTTTAAAACCATTTAGAGAGGTCAAGGTTGAGAGCTTCAGATCTTTTTGTAAGATATTCCAGGAAACAGGAGCGAAGTAGGAGAAGGCCCTTTTGCCTAGTTCAGTCCTCATTGAGGGAACACTGCAGGTAATAATGTCCTGAGAGCGCACGCTGTAGCTGCACTCATGCAGAGACATGTAGGAGGAGATGTATGAAGGCAACAGACCAAGAAGTGATTTAAAGATGAAAATGTACCAGTGAGAGAGTCTGCATGAAGTTAATGATGTCCAGTTAACCAGTGAATACAGGGTACAGTGGTGGGTATGGTAGTTACAGCCAGTTATGAATCTTAATGCACCATGATAGACAGCATCCAACATCTGCAGTTCATTAGTCACAAAGGCCGGTCAAGTCATTGATGTCCAAGGTTATAGTAAGAACCTTAAGTTATGAAATAACAAGTAGGAAATTTTGATATGATCTTGAGAAATTACATTGAGTTTTAAAATGAATGCTTTATTAGCATATGTTTATGTGACAAGTTATGAAGTTATCAAATATTAGAAAGATTGCCTTTCTAAAATTGGCAATTTTAAAAGCTTAAGTGTCTATGGAGGAGAACCTGGAGATGTAAAGTTATGTAATCAAAGAGGAGGAATGAAAGGCAGCTGTAGTAAGACAGAGTACGTGTGTGGATGAGAGGGAGGCCAGTTGAAAAATGAGGCTACAAGCAGAAGAGGTCTCAAAGGTGCAGGACTTCAAGTACTTGTGGTCCACTGCAAGAAAAAAAAAAGGAATGTGGTGAAGAGGTTAAGAAGAAAGTCCAGGCAAGATGAAGTGGATGGAGAGAAGTTTCAGGAATGATTTGTAACAAAAAGGTGTCGGCAAAGGTCAAAGAAAAGGATTACTAGACAGTGGTGGGACCAGTTGCATGGTTGAAGACAGTAGCACTGACAAAAAGACAATAGACAGATCTGAAAGTGGCAGAGCTGGAGATGTTCCAGTTCTCCTTGGGAATGACAAGGTTAGATAAGATTAGGAATGAGATTGTCAGAGGTATAGCACAAGTTGAAGGAGTGGTAGATAAACTTAGAGAGGTCCAACTGACATGAATTTGACATGTCCGGAGGAGGGCCAGTATGTATATCTTACAAGATGGCTACTCTCAGCCGAGTCGCAGTTTCACAGGCTCCCGGTGAACTCAATCCTTTTTTGTTCCCGTTGCTTTTGTTTTCACCTTTTCTTGTGCCTACGATGTACATCCACAGTACGTGTATGACCATGACACACTTGTGGAGTTTTCTGTGTCGCTGCCATGCCATCCTGCCATCGTGGTTCAGTCCTTCCACCCTCGAGCTCAAGTATGTCATGGTGGCTGTCTCCATGATCCTCCATCTGCCTGCATGGACCGGATTCTACAGACCCGTTTGGTTCCGCAGGGAAACTTGGATGCTGTTTGTCTGCTGGACTCGGTTCTAGAGAGCTGTCTGGGAGGCAGCTGCTGCGGTCATTGTTACCATTGAGCTGCTGACGGGACCTGCTAACTTGACCTACTAACCTGCTAATGCTGCTAACAAGATCCTCCACCTGCTTGATCAGACCGAAATCTGCCAACCCGCTTGGTTCCACGGGGGAACCTTGGATGTTCTCTGTCTGCTGGACCCGGTTCTGGAGGGCAGTCTTGGAGGCAGCTACTGCGATCCTTATTATCATCATGCTGCTGAAGGGATCTGCTAACAAGACCTGCTAACACTGATAACAACACCACACCACTAACAGAACCATGGGGCCAATGGGATGATGTTGCTAAGAGAACCTCACTGTCATCAGAACCACTCTACCAATAGGACCATGCTGCTGTAGATCTATTTCTTATTGCTTTTTCACTTTTGGCACCTTGTTTCTGTATTTTTGTTGCATACTTTGACTGAATCCTAGTTTATGTTAGTGTAGTTTATGTTAATGCTCGCATTAAGCATGTCAATTATAGCCGAACAGAACCTATAAGAACCATGCTGCTGTTGTTTGGTGTATTATTTTTGCACTATTAGTGACTGGCATATCTTAGATCTTTTAGCATACCCTTTGGTGTTCGTTTAGCGTATATTTTAGTTTATATCTCAGATTCTTATTTACTGTTTCTATTTACACTTTATATGTTTGCTATTGTTTGATGTAACTGGGACCCTGTGTACACAGTTTCATTCCACTACATGTACCACATGTGATGCCAATGACAATAAAGAATCTCTGACTCTATAGTATGGATGCAGTTAGAGAGAACATGGAGGTAATTGGAATGAGGATGGAGGATGCAGAGGACAGAGTGAGATGGAGGAGAATGACTTGCTGTGGCAATTCCTGAAAAGGAAACAGCTGAAAAATGATGAAAAAGCTAGGTTGTATGTTTTGGTTTAAATGTATTTTTAATTTAAATGTTTCTGTTTTTGTTTGTTTGTTCGTTTCCGTGTACAATTATATGGACAGGGGTTTTGGTTGGACATTGGGAGAAGGCTTCAGCAGAGTGTTGAGAGACGTGGACGGCATGTCCCACGGGGAAGAAGTGTCTATGGGGGAGAGGGTGGGCTCCAGAAACCATCTTATCACCACCAAACTGATCAGCCCAGTATGTGAGAGTGCTGCTTGTGGTACTGAGTTTGTTGTGGCTCCTCGGACTGACAAAGTCCTTTGAATGAAGGAGGAAACGTTTCAGTAACAAAAAAAACAAACAAAAAAAAACAACTTTCCAGATAACCTGACTGAACTTTGTTGGATTTTTTTTACCCAGATTTTTGAGCATGAACTTTGACAGTTTTTGCAAGATTTTTAAAATGGTGGGTTTCTTGTGAAGGGGCATTCTTATGAGTTGCTTTGCTCAGTAGCTACTTAATGGCCTACAGTCTGCTGATGTCAAATTCTTACTCTTGACTTGACCCACATGAAATTGATGGAAAGTTAGGTTCTAATAAGCGAGCTAAAAGTGGGTGGGACAAGCCAATGGAAATAATCTGAACAAGCACCGAGTCAGCCAGTGTAGGAGAGTCAGTGGAAAAAGGCCAAAACGTACTGGATCCTGCTGGGCTTAGCCATGGGACAGAAAATAGATGAAGAAATGTTGGGAAGTCAGCAATTTTACAACAAAGTTCATGCTCAATCATCCAGCAATTTTACATTTGTTTTTTCACTTGAGTGTTTCACACAACTTAAGGGCAATGTGAGGATGGCTACCATGGAGACTGGGGATGCAAGCTGCACATATTGCTGAGACCAGCAGGTCCCCAGGCTACCCGAGTATCAGAAGATGTGATGGATGTTGTTCCCCTCACAGGTGTTGACTGCTCTCCTGGAGGAAACTGCTTAACCTATTCATCTAAATCAGAGAAACACAATTTAGTTTTATTATACACAAAGTATTATTTTTACATGAAGAAAAAAAATACATGTAACTTGTTAATAGTATAATTTTTCGTAAGATGATTTTTCTTAGTTTATTGTTCAAACAGCATTTTAGAGATGCTTGTATATTTCAAATGCTTGTATATGTCAACAAAGTAGCGTTGGGTTCAGAAGTTTCAGAAACCATTTATTTTCATCGTGTCATTTTCCGGGCAGATGATGCTTATGAGCAAGAGCAGACCTCAGCTAGTTGGAGTGTTGGTAGCTTAATCCCATCCTTCCCTGCTACATGCAAAAGTGTTCTTGGGCAAGGCAATGAGCCCTAGGTTTCTCCACTGTGTGTGTGTGTGTGTGTGTGTGGGGGGGGGGGGGGGTTAATGTAATGAATACATGGTGGCACAGCAGCCAGTGGCTAAAGCTCCTGCCTCACAGCAAGAAGGTTGCAAAACTCAGCTATGACCTTTCTATGTTGAGTTTACATGTTCTCCCCTGCATATGTGGGTTTTCTGAAGGTACTTTGGTTTCCCCGCCACAAACTAAAAACAATAATGTTCCGTTAACTGATAACTAAACTGGCACTGGGTGTGAACAAGAGTGTCAGTACTTGTTTTTCTTTATGCTATCGTGTGATATAGTTGTGACCTGTTCACGATGACTCTTGCCACACCCATTGACCACTTGAATAGGTACCAGCTTCCCACAACCCTCCAAGAAAATAGATGAATGGATAAATCAGATTAATTCACAGACTGTGGCTGTCAGATCAGAATCAAAATGCTTTTATTATTCTTACACAGTGAAGTACAACAAAATTACTTTCTATACAGCTATCCTAAAGATGGACAGAAGTGTACAAGGGGCTACAGATTCTAAGGTCGTTTTCACACCAGATAGTCCGGTAGACTCGGTTCTGTTCGGGACCAATATTCATGACCTTTTGTTTACATTTGAGCTGGTGAGTTTGCATTCACACTGCACTGTGCAGTCGAGTCAACCTGTTGAACCAACCTATTCCCCCGCTCGCCTGTGGGGGCGCTGCACCAAGAACTAATGAAAGAAACGACACAAAAACCTCTGAAGACACGTCTTCTTCTTCTTCTGGAAATAAAAATAAAAACGAAGTGGCATCAAGTTTTAACAGTTTAGGAGTTATATTTTGTCATTTTTCAAAAATGGACTTAGCATGAGCAGAAGATGAGACTGAAGACCATGGAGAATATTGTTTTTCCACACAAGGCAGCTGACGGCTCCATATAAGGTCAGAGAAATGCGTGTTTGTTTACCCTGCGGAGCAGGTCCGGTCTGTTTACATTCACACTGCACTTGAACCGCGCTGGAGTTCTCTTCTACCGGACCGAGACCTAGGTTTTAGCCCGGGCCAGAGTTCGCCTTTTTGTTCCGTGACAGAGTTCGATGGTGCGTTCACACCTCCCTAAATGAACCGGACTTTCTAGGAAAACGAGCTAGAGTTCGATTAAAGCGGACTAAGCAGGGCTGGTGTGAATGCACCCTAAGATGCACGGCCCTTGTTGCTTAGATAAGAAAAAGGAAAGAAAACATAAGGAGAGAGGTATAAAAAAGATCTTGACGAGGCACAGTTTAAGGCATCAAAAAAACCTACCACAGCAAAGCAACATAAATAAACATAATACATACAGTATGTGTGTGGAGTGAGTAGGGGGTGGAGGTCCCAGCACAGCCACCAGATGAGCAACGCTTGGTGCCTTGACAGCACAGTCCTGAGCCCCCCCCCCCCCCCCCCACCCTTAGTCCTGATAAGAGGTGTTTGCTTATCAGCCAATTCGGTTGAGCTCTGTCACAGGTCCACGACCTTGTGGAAGAGAGGGGCTGGGGAGGGTTACAGAGCGTCTTTGTTTCCATAACATCCAAGGAGAAATTTGAGATAGTCCGCCTTCCAAGGCCAGGTCCAGTTCCAGATATCAACATTATTTTGGGTCAGGCTGAACTCGTCAATTTCTGTGCCTATCTTTTACAGGCTCACTAGTACATTCTCTTATGGCAATTCCAAACAGCCAAATTTGATTCCTTATGCCAAATCGAGCTTACAACTTCTCCAAGATTTATTCCTTCCAACTGTTTGTGTCCACTGCCAGAAAGTTCCACAGTCCTGATAAGGATCAGCCTGCTCAGCTTGATACAGCATCACATATAGTTCGCACATAGTCTGAGTGCTTCCAAGCTCGACCCATTCTCCACATTCCAGGCAGCTTAACAACAGCTGCTGGTGTTTCTGAACTTGTCGAAAATCCAGATTTCCACCAACTTCAAAACAATAAAATCCAGTTATCATAGATCCAATTATCTTTCCGTCAAGGTAAGAGGGTTCTCCTTCACCCTGGCTACCTGTTGAGGAATTTTGTTGAGAGACCAGCTGATCATATCCATTGTTACAATTCAGAAGGTATGCAAAAAAAAGGGGCTCTGAAAAAGGTTCACAAGACAAAGAGCAAAGTAGGGACAGAGCGAGGGACGGAGCGAGGGACGGAGCGAGGGACGGAGCGAGGGACGGAGCGAGGGACGGAGCGAGGGACGGAGCAGAGAAGGACATGTCTGCCTTCCACCGAGAGCAAGCAAAAAAAAAAAAAAATCACATTTGATAAACTTGACAGCCTTTTGCCACAATCATAATAATTCTATTTATTTACATATAATTGTTGAATAGTGCATTTTGATTGTAAATCTCAAAACTCCCATGCTTAATATGATTCATCGTCAGTGGAAAATTTATTGGCATTTTTGCTAAAAATTACTAATACAGTTAGATAAATTGGTTACTGTGTACAGAAAATGTAAATTAATTTTCTTTATCAGGCTTTAAAAGAGCAACATATTTGAGGAGAAAGAAGAACCAGGTGTGTTCAGTATACAACAGGATATACACGTGCATCTTAGAAAATTAGAATATGAAAAAGTTCAAGAGTTTTGGCAATCATTTTAGGAAGTGAAATTCATACATTATATAGATTCATTACATAGAATGAAATGTTTTGTCTTTATTTCTTGTAGTTTTCAGGATTATGGTTTACAAATAATAGAAAAAACAAAATTCATTGTTATAGAAAATAAAAATTTTGTGAAGAGGTTCAGTGTTGTAAACTCCTGGTGTCACACTCTAATCAGCTCATTAACTCCTGGACATGAGCTACAAATGTCTCGTTCCTCAAGTTCAGCCACTCCTGAACCACATACAACATCAGAAGCCTTACCTGCTGAGGAGAAAAATAACTGGACTGTTGCTCAGTGGTCCAACATACTCTTTTCAGATGAAAGTAAATGTTCACATCATTTATAAATCAAGGTCCCAGAGTCTGGAGGAAGAGTGGAGAGGTCCAGAATCCATGTTGCTTTAAGTCCAGAGGGAAGTTTCCACAGTCAGTGATGGTTTGGGTCCATGTTCCCTGCTGGTGCTGGTCCAGTGGGTTTTCTGAAGTCCCCAGTCAATGCAGCATCTACCACGACATTTTAGAGCTCTTCATGCTTCCTTCTGCTGATGATCTTTATGGAGATGCTGGTTTCATTTTCCAACAGGACTCAGCTCCTGCCCACACTGACAACGGTACTGAAAGATGGCTGTGGAATATTCTAATTTTATGAGACACAGAACATTGTTTTTCATTATCTGTAAGTCATAATCATCAAAATTATAAGAAATAAAGTCTTCAAATATTTCATTTTGTGTAATCTATGTAATATGCGAGTTTCACTTTCACAAATGATTGATAAAAATTGAATGTTTTCATAT